GCTTTCTTTAGGTAAAAATACAAAAGAATAACATGCAGGCAAAGACAGGAAACTTACAAGTACAAATTCCACCCAGAATTCCACATTTAATATATTTTTATTTGGAGTGGAATTCTTTCCATGAAATACGAATTCACTAGAAAATTGAAAATGATAGCACTCAATTTGTTTATGGGCACTGATTTACATGTAAATGCTGGAGGCAGCAGTGGAAGAACATTTGTGTCATATTTTAAATATGCATAAAATAATGAAACGGGGTCAGAAATGAATGAAAGGACAGGGCTAGTATTTAAGTGACACTTAAAATAATCAGAATTATGGCTGAAAAAACAGAACAGGCCATTTCATCAGTATCAGAAATGTTTTTTATGTAAGGATCATTATGACCTGAATATTTAAACCTAGGTTTAAATTGTTGAAATTTAAGATTACCATGTAAAATCATTAAAAGGAACAAATTTACTTCACAGCATTATTGCTGATCCATAAGTTACCTCAAAAATAAAATATGAAGACAGTGCACTAGCTTCCATTTTCAGCTACCTTGCACACTCAACTTAAAATTGTTATAAAATAAACAATCTTTTAATCTTTTTAAAAAAGAATTTAAAATAAAAATTATTTTTGATTACCATGTAAAATCATTAAAAGGAACAAATTTACTTCACAGCATTATTGCTGATCCATAAGTTACCTCAAAAATAAAATATGAAGACAGTGCACTAGCTTCCATTTTCAGCTACCTTGCACACTCAACTTAAAATTGTTATAAAATAAACAATCTTTTAATCTTTTTAAAAAAGAATTTAAAATAAAAATTATTTTTTGCTTACCTACACATTAAATGAGACTGTGGAGATCCATTAAAAGTCTGTCTTCATAAAACAGAAAAAATACAATAGTGTGGCCTTCATAGTAACAAACAATTATTTGCACACTGATTCATTTTGGAGTTTTCATTTCCCACTCTCAGAAAGTGTTATTTATATGTTTACTTTGAATATGAATGTCAACTAGTTATATCCTTATGTGACATTATATGCTTTTCCAGAAGTGGAAGTAGTGTAGATCTGAAACTCCTCTTAAGAGTACCAGAGAATTCCCAGTAGGACTGAGTAAAACTATTCTACTGGGCTCTGTGAATTTAGACATGAACAGGAAGTCCAGGTTGTCCCCAGGCTTTACAGACTTCTGGAATCATAAACATCAAGTTATCACAGATGTTTTTATTGTAACAACTAAAATTGCACTTTGACTCAATATTGTCTATCACAAGGGATAATCCTGGTTTAATAACAGAAACTAGTTTGTATCCAAAATGTACTGCTGTGAGGGCTTTGGTATGGCTCTGTTTGAGCTAATCAAAATATGATGTTAATAATCCTGAAATCTAGTTCCTTGCAGGAACTGACCCCACGTATAGTTGTCATCCTCTTGAAAACTCTGTGTCAAGCCCAGATAAATACCTACCTTCTCCACTTTAAGATGAAAATTGATGAGAAGTACTATTAGTCAAATGTTAGAAGTAGCTAAACAAAACAAATACATTTTCTTTTCTCTTTTCTTTTTTTTTTACAAAGACAAGTTTTCCAGTGGAAGGTGACCTATATCTGTCCTTCACAAACACAAACGTCCACTAATGTCCTAGAGAGCTTGTTAAAATGCAGGTTTGTTTCAATAGCTCTGAGCTCAAGTTTGGTAGTCTTACTTTTTAAACAAGTAATACTTCTCAACCCACCACCTATAGGGCCTTCAGTGACTAAGAAACTAGATTACAAGAGAGCCTTCATTCTTAGAGAAATCAAAAATTGTAAGCATGACTGCCCTGCAAAGAGAGGAGGTGAAAGATGCTAGATGGTGTCATAGGGAATCAGCATTTAAGAGATCACAAAGAACCTGGGAGACTAGACCAGCACTTTGTTCTTTCCCCCAGATTAAAGGAAAAACAATGAATTGTGAACATGGAAGTAACATGCTCAAATTTCCTTTTGAGTATAAACCAAATGGGTAATAAATACACATTTGTTTATAAAAATAAAATTCTATATACACATTATGACATTCATATTTAATATCTGGATAGTGGTATATAATTATCTCTGTAGTTAAAGGTTTTTCTTTTTTTTTATTGAGTTTATTGGTACATTTAGGGATACAGTACAGTTACATTCATTGTTGGGATCATGTACCTTTACATGGCAAGTCTTGATTCTCATTTTTTCCCCTTACCTCTGCCCTCCCTTAGTTAAAGGTTTTTCTGAAATAAAAAGTTAAATCTCCATTCATACCATGCCTGGAAAGATAGGAGGAAAAACTAATGGCATACAAGGAGTTATCAAAACATGTAGTGAATCAATTATTATAGTTATTACTAAAAACAATTATTGCAATAAAGTACAGGTTGTCATTAGTCCCCCTCAAAATATTCCCTCTTTCTGGCAATATACTCATATCATAATTTTTATTTCTGAGGCAGTTCTGGAAGTCCACTTTTGTTAGTGTCTCTGCAAAATGTGATCAAACGTATACTGAATGCTGCTGTCAAGTGCAATCCAAGAGAAAGACAGGTTCATGAAAATATTATAATCTCTTCTTATCCACTTTATTTACCAGCTCTGACTGACCCCAAGCAACTTTGGGCTCTTCCTCAAAGTCAAAGTGACTATGAAAGAGAAATGTTTTGAACTGATTCCAAACATCAAGCCAGCCATGAATGCATAAATAACAACACCATATTTTTTCATTAATCAATCACCATGATTGCTTGGAACTTTTCTGGAGAAAAAGAAGTACGTATAAGGAAAAACAACACAGATAAAATAGAAGTCATTGTAAAAACTCTGCAAAAATATTGAATAAGTAAACTGATGTGCAGAGATACCTGTTACCATGATTGAAACTTGACTTATGCTAACCAGACTCTTAATTGTTTGTGTAACTTTTTCTTAACTCAAACTGTTGCCTGTCTTTGATTGTAAAAATTCCTCATTGGTGCTTCTAATATGAGCCTTTCTTTTTCCATTTTTATCATCTTAATGAGTTGTGACACACTTTGTAATTTTATTTGCATTTTACTTAAGGGAATCTAATATTTTTGTTTACACATTTGATATCTTCATATATTCATCTTCAAAATATCTGCTCACATCTTTTGCTCATGGGTCTCTGTCTGTGGTGCTGAGGATAAAACTAAGGCTCTTGTGCATGCGAAAGTACCGCTGAGCTACATCCCCAACCCCTTAGGCACATTTTCTAACTGGGTTATTAGTTTTCTAATTATGGACATTTTTATTAATCAAGTTTATTGGTACAGTTTAGGTATACATTATGATCACATTCATTATAGAGAATTTGTACCTGTACATGACATATCTTGGTTCTTATTTTTTCCATTCCCCACCTTTCTTCCTCTATTCTTTATTAGATACATGATTTTCAAATACCTTCTCAAGAATATTGATCATTGCTTTCTCCCGAGGTTATCACACTTGTCTGTTTCACTGTGCTCATTAGACCTACTGAACAAGAAACAGGAGCTATAGTAAATTTATTGGCAGTACTGTTGGGCCAAAAGATGAGCATAAATTGTACAAAAACCCAGAGCCCTTCTAACTCAGTGAAATCTCTTTGAGTCAGGGAAATATGGCAGAACAAGATATCCTTCCTAAGGTAAAACATAAGTATTTTGTATATGGCTCCTTATACAACCAAAAATAAAATAGAAAGTCTATTTTTTTTTTATTTGGAGGCCATATATACTTCACTTGAATGTGTTACTGTGACACATTTACCTCAAATCCAAAACAGCTTCTATTTTTGAGTGGAATACAAGTAGGACAAGGCTGTGCAGCAGCTTTCCCCTTGCAAACTGATGTCATATAACTCAGCATCCAGTGAGGCTTCAACTGGCAGTGCTATGTACAATGTTAATTGGAGCCTTCAGTAGGCATCTATCGGTGCATCATAGGGTAGACCCTTAGAGTTTTATAGCAAAGCTCTTATATCTTAAGCATATCTCCACTATCCTTTTGAGAATATAGCTGTTGCCATGCTAATGGTATTTAGTGGAGGTTAAACACTTAATCATGTGTGCTGAGTTTTCCATGTTGAAATAGATTTGGATGTGCACAGTAGCATTCCATCAGCAAATGGAAGTGGTATACACATGTTGGCCTTAAGAAGCTCCTGGAATCTATGGTTTTCACTCTTTCAATACATTCTTATCTCTTCTATCCTGAATTTACAGTTGCAAGGAGTGTAGGGGGGGCGTGGTAGGGTCAATTGACAGAGAAGACAAGACAGAAGCCTGGATTACAGAACATTTTGCCTGATTTGTCAACACCACCCTTAAGTGAAATGCTACAGTACTGATACCCCTTTATAAACCACTCCTAAAAGACACTATTCAAATAAGTAGAACCTCAAGCACTTCCCTTTGCCTGGAAAGATAAATCAGGATATGTAAAATTTCCTATTGTGGGCTATATCCAATAATGTGGCTGGAATATTAAGGACTTCAAAGAAACATGATTGAAAAAATGATGGTGGAAAACTTAAAGGAATGTATGAGTAGTAGAACTAATGCATTGTCCAAAAATATGAAGATATTTGTGTTTCATTTGAATGTTCACCAAAGACTGACGTGAGGAGGAGAGCTCTATTAGCTAATTTTGTTTCCTACAGTAAAATGGCAGAGGATGAGCATTTATTCATTTTTTAATTTTATTTTTTGAGACAGGGTCTTGCTATGTAGTTCAGGCTGGTCTCAAACTCACTGGGCAGCTGGATCCTGCCTCAAATGCAAGGGAATTCTCATGCCTCACTATCACACCTGGTTATTATTTTTTTGTTTATTTATAAATTTATTTCACTCACAGATATGGATGCTGAAAGTTCCAAAGACATGGCAGCAACTTTAATGAGAGCTCCTGTCTGCTTGTCTGTATAACCTCACAGTAGATGACATCACAATGTCAAGAGCATATGTGAAGGGCAGATATGATGTCACCCTTCTAGAAGCCACAGAAATGGTAAGGGGATGGCAATAACTTCTCACTGAACCCCACCATTACTGAACACTTACTTTCATATCTTCATGTTCCATAGCATTCTGCTAATCAAATCCATTACTTTTTTCAAAAGGAAAAATAATTTATTCAAAACTAGGTCTGAGGAGATGGAAGGGCCCATTGGTCTCAAGTCATCACCTCTTCAGGTACAGGTGAGTAAAGGTATTTCATAGTAAGAAACAGAGTAGCGTGGAACACAGGAGATAATTCAGATAGCTATGCTTGGCTTATCACTTCCAGTCTTTAAAGCTCATTATCCCTTTTCTTGTGGAAAGCAAACTGGGCTCTCAACTCCTGTGACCATCATAGGCATCATCTGTCTACTCATTCAGGCTTAAAAAGGAGGGAGTAGCCATTATGCCCTTGGCCTGAGAGATTTTTGAGAAGCCACTTACCATTAAGGGAAAAAACATTCTAACTTTTACTGTTCCATTTTGTTATGCCATCTACAACTCTCCTCTTGTTTTAGTCCAGCCCTCAATCTTGAGGCCTTGATGTCCCCATCATCTGGCTGACTCTCATGTTGGATGGACTCATAGAGTGCATCAAAGGTAGCTGATCCACAAGCAAAATCAAGCTAGGTGCTTGAGCCCATAAAAGGATCACCAAAAAAAATTGTGATGTCAAATACAAAATAAAGCCCAAATCAAAAGATACCTGATCGTTGCACTTGTTGGAAGGGATTTTTACTTTTCAACAATCATGTATAAGAATCTTTTATTTGGATTTTAATGTAATACAAGTAGACATTAATTAATAAAATATAAAACATATCCCTCATCTCTGAAAAATAAAACAAACTTTCATAATGAAATAACTTGAGGATAACAATAATTAATATACCGTGTGTATCATGATCTTAAGAGAATGGCCAAAATGTTACTCAGAGAACAAGACATAGACCAAAAAAAAAGAAAGATTCTGCAGCTCTACTTATTTTATGGGCTTGACAGGTGATTCTTTGATGCTCACAATTCTTTCCCTTTGTTTCTGAATGCTTCCTCCCCACAGCCCTGTTTTAAAGGTATGGCCAATTAACCACGTGTAGCTGTGTCCTTTAGTACTGGCATAGCTTTCTTTAGTGGTGGTCAGGCAGAGCAGGTCCCACATTGGGGGGATGTGACAGATAATTGGAGTCAATGTTGTAAGCTCTTCTTACTAAATATGAGCCAATATCAGAGATTCTGAAAGTGGCTCTTAGGCTGAATTTATCAAGTTCATTGCCAAATCTAGTCCTGTGTATTCAGTAATTAGCATCCCAAAACACTGGAACTTCAACAAATAGTTACAAGTCTTACAAATATACATAAAGCAAAACCCAAAAGAGCAAAGCAAATTCAGTCTGTATGGCAGACCTGAACGAAGAAATAGTGCTCAATTTAATTAAATAAACCCAGCATTTTTGTGAAGCAACCTTAGTTCCATCAGAATATGTATCAAGCATATAAAGTCCCATTTATTGTACCAGTTAGGAGAAAGTACATCATTTATCAATATCAAACTGATAATTGCAGATCTATAACAACTTGAGAATATTTTAGGTAAACAAAACAGAATTGTAGTCATTCTAACTACAGTTTACAAACATTAATCTCTATTTTACTAAGAATATATATATATTTAAAGTAGAACTGTTTCTTATTGACCCAGAAAAGTATGGTTTCTGCCAGTTATATAAGTAGCAACACAAGGTAATGATTTCGCAAAATAATTTAGTTACTTTTACATTACATTAACTAATAGTCATGACTCACTACATCATACCAGGACAATTACAGTTTTGATAAAAGGTAAGTTATATTCAATGGTAGTTTTTGTAACCCATTACACAGCATTATTGTCTTCATAAAGTTATCACACTCAAGTCCTTTGGAGAGAACTTTAGTGCTCAGCATATAAATAATGCAAGAAAGCAAGATGTATACTGCTTTTACTTATTTTCAACATTTTTTATGACATGAATAAAACATTAAAATTATTTATATTTATTAATGAAGGGATACACACATTGAAGAAGCTAATAAGGTACAAAAACTCAATTCATCAGCATCATAGAATTGTAAATACAAAAATGTTTTAATACTACTGAAAATTATTCATATATTCTTCCACAATGCTATATTTATTCAAAGGAGATAATAATATGAGCTCTAAGCATTTCTCTTCAACATCTTTCTCAGGGAACCTGTGACTTGCTTGTTTCTCAGGCTGTAGATAAATGGATTTAACACAGGAATTATGACAGTGTAGAATAGAGAGAAGATCATTTCCTGATCATTTTCCTCTGAAGATGCCGGATGCACATACATAAAGAGAAGAGGGACGTAGTACAGACACACAGAAAACAGATGGGCTCCACAGGTGGAGAAGGCTTTGCTTACACCCTTTTCAGACTTCTTTTGTAAAATAGTGAAGAGAACAAATGTATAAGAAAGAAGAACAGTCATAATGCTGAATACTTGTATCGAACCAGAGAAGATAAAAACAAGTAGATAATTAAGAGAAGGGTCTGTACAAGAAATCTTAAGCAATGGTATAACATCACAATAAAAGTGATGTATTATGTTGGAATTACAGAACATTAATCTGAATAAAAATCTTTCATGAATTAAGGCATGAAGAAAGCCACCTACAAATGTTAGAACTAATAGCTGGATGCATCGTCTATTGGTCATAATCACTGGGTAAAGTAAAGGTTTGCATATGGCCACATAGCGATCATAAGCCATTGCTGCCAACAGAAAACATTCTGCTGTTACACTGATTGCAAAGGAGAAAAATTGTATCATGCATTCTGAGAAAGTTATCATCTTGTCTTTGTGTAATAAGTTCACCAGAATTTTTGGTGTCACAGTGGATGATAACCAAGTATCTACAAAAGCTAAATTCCCAAGGAAAAAATACATGGGTATGTGAAGGTGAGAGTCATTCTTGATGAGAGTGATCAGACCCAGGTTCCCCACAATGGTGATGAGGTATATTGCCAAAAAAGACAAGAACAGGAGAACTTGCCACTCTGGTTGACATGGGAGTCCTGTAAGGACAAACTCTGTCAACAATGTTGCATTTTTCATTGCCATTTCCTTGCTGGATGTCTTCTGATAAGAAATGCAGTGAATATTAACAAAAAAAAATTTACAACAAGAAAATGTAAGATATGAGTTGAGGGAAAATAACTATACATACATATAAAGTGCATGTGTCAAAATATATAGTACTGTAACGGAAGAAATATTTTTGAGGAATTAAAATGGCAGAAACTTAAGTCAATAAGTGTGCGAAAGTGACAAATTTACAGGGAATGTGGGGCTGTACAAGTTTTTGACCAATTCATTGAGAACTATTGAATGCGGTTAGAAATTCTATGTCCTAGAAATGCAGAATCTCAAGCAAAGCTTTGTGAATGGTCAGGAATACAAAATGAATTGAACTCCTTGAGAAGAAAGTTGAATTCTATTTGTCAAATATATGGAATGATATGGTAAAATATTATTTAAATTAAATATCTGAGATACAACACATTGCCCATAGAGGAGAAGCATGTAAAGTCAAAGATAGTAATCAGGAAGTTGTTTTTTGTGTCTAGTACTTCCCAAAGCGTATTCAAGATTCTACTGTGCAGGGAAGCTTCTCGTAAACATCATACATTTTGAGAAAATAGTCATAATGTATTATGAATTGACTATTAAGAACAAGACAAGAATCTGTATTTTTAAAATATTCCTCTGAGGAATATATATGGTGGCTACCCCATATATGATCTGACACATAATGAGAATGAAGAGTCTGAGACTCAGTTACATTTTAGGTATTGAAGGGTGGCCAGTGAGGAAGTGGTAATTGAGTAGGTGATTGAATAGGTGATAATAAAAAATAAATCTGAAAACTAGGTAATTGTGCAATCTGTGGAGGAAGAACCTCTTCAAATACCAGGTGAAATGTAGCTAAATGTGTAAACCTTCTATGTGCCAACAGAACTAATAGCATGGGGGTCACTGGTGTAGATGGAGGCACAGATATGGGTAACCTGTCTGTCAGTAATGGCACACAAAGGAAAGGGGTGGGAGAAGAGAAAATATTGAGAAAATTAAAGAGATTATGATGCAAACCGATATCATTTACTAGATAGTCATACCTGAAACACTTTCTTACACATGAATCTGTTTGATAGGTAGGACTATTTCATACTTCAGAACCTGAAAGTCATAGGAACTTACATTCCCATGCCCCTCACACATATAATAACACATGAACTGATCTCAATTTATCTAAACTCACATATTCATGTGGATAGGTAGAGAAAGTATAGAGACAATGTGGCAAAGGCAACCAGAGCAATAATATCAAGATTCCAGCAAATAAACTCCATTCCACAGAAATAGCATTGTTGGTGTGAATTACGGTACCTAAGGCCAACAGCAATGACAGAAATCTTTATAAAGAGGTCTTGGGTCACAACTTGGCTGTGCATCTGCTGCCTTCTTTTCCTATCTTCCTGCCCATCTTTCAAGCTGATTCCTCTGTCCTCTGTCTAGCACTTTTACTTTTAGTAAATTTCCACTTCAGAAACTCATTTCTTAGTGGAAGCTAGAGCACTGAATAGAACAATGGAGAGGCAAAAGAGAGATCATAAAAATGATGATCAGAGTGTTCTGAAAAACCAAGGGGAAAGTGAAAGACAGAGCTTTGTTAACCAAATGAGACGGAAGATCCTCAAGAGTAACAAAGCAAAGTATAGTACCAAATACAAAAATAAATGTTCTAGCACGATGATGAATTAACAGTTATTGAATGAACCAAGATAAAGCGTAGGATCAGAGGCTTGGATGCACATGTTTCCTTAATCCTAGAATTCGTTAATAGTTGTCTACTGAAAGATATTTTTTCACTTGACTCAATGTACAGGGTATTTTTTTGTCTCGGATTTAGCTCAGTAGTTCCACCGCCTGCCTTGCAAGGTCCCAAGTTTGATCGCTGGTACAGAAAAAAAAAAAAAGCAATGTGCAAAGTACAGAGTATTTTTGTTCCATGGACTTAGAGAGGCCTCATGTAAAATCTTGTTACAGAAATTGGGTTATTCATAAAAATATTAGCATTTCCTAATATTCTTTCTGCATCTAAATTTTCCATTATTTTTAAAAAGGACAGAATGAGAACTATTCCTCTAATCCTTAAAGATAATGTATACTGGTAATTTCCCAAGGCAGTAGTTTGGGATACTCTCACCACTACCACTAAAAAAGCAGCTATAAATATGGAAAAGTGGAAAGGGTGAAGGAAGGGCAAGGGCATGGAGAAAACAAGGGAACCAAGATATATCATGTAAAGTACAAGATTCCAATGATGAATATAACTGTACTGTGTATTTTAAAAGTATCAATAAACTTAATGTAAAATAGTTATAATATGAGATATAGGATGCTATTTTGCTTTTATTTATTTTTTACTTGATTTTGGATATGTATACCAAAGCATCATGTGGCAAACCTGAAATATACATGATAAAAATTGTGTTTCTTTTTCTTCATATTATAATATTTGAAATGAACTGATCTACAGCCGTACCACCCTTAATGCACCTGATCTCATCTGCTTTTGATGTAAGATGTAGATAAAGGGTTGGGCCAATTTGTAAATGACACCTTAAAAGTTTAAATAAGAATTATGATTGATTAAATACAATGGGCCATTTTATCAGTATAACCAGAAATAATTCTTATATGAGTTACTAATAAGATTTATAATGGTTTTTATATTTAAATCTAGTTTTAAATTGTTTAAAGTTTCCTCTCATAATTAAGTCATTAAAAAGAATAAATAAGTCTCATAGTATTATTGTTTATCCATATTATAGCTGAAAAATAAAATACAAATATGCTATTTTTCATTTTTATCTTGCTAATTTTGTATCTTATAATCCATTGTAAATTGTTACAATTTAAATAATATTTTAGCTTTTATATAAATATTTATTTGAATATTTTAGCTTTTATACAAAGAACTTCAAAATGAATAGTATTTGTCTTACCTACATTTTAAAACAGATTATGGACATCCTTTAAAAGTATTTCATAAAGTAGAAAAAAGTACAACAGCACAGGATTGATAATAACAAAACAGGCAATTTTTTGCACACTGATTCATTTTGAAGTTTCATTTACCACTCTCAAAAACGTTGTTTATATAACTTTGCATTGACCACAAGAGTCAACCAGTTGCATAATGTTGTGCTTCCTTCCAGAGATGGAAGGAGTGGAGATTTGAAGTTCCCCTAGGAGCACAAGAGAGCTCCCAGTAGATAAAAGAAGCTATTCTACTGGGCACTGTGAATTTGGCCACCAATCAAAGTTCAGATTGTCCCTAAGCATTACTCACTTCTACAATCATAAATTTCAGATCATCATAGATGTTTCACATGTCAACAACTAAAATTACATTTGACTCAAAATTTTCCATCAATGTGACAAGTATGTTATACTCACAGAAACAAGTTTTTATCTAAAATGTACTACTCTGTAAATATTGAATACTATGGTTCTATCTGAGCTAATCATTATATGCTGTGGTTAAGCAAAGATCTAGTTTGCCTGAAGGAAATGACCCCAAGCAGTGTAATCCACTGCATGAAAGGTAATCTCAAACCTAGATGAATGTGAAAATTCTCCACTTCAATGGAAAGTTTAATGAGAAATCCTACTGGTGAAATGTTAGAAGTAGCAGCTAATGAAAACCAAAGCCATGTATCTCCATGGCAGGTGACCTAGATGTGGGCTTCCCTAACATCAATGCCCATTCTCTTCCCAGAGATCTTGTTCAAATGCTGCCTTGTTTAGTAATTCTGGGCTCCAGTTGTGGAGTCTCACTTTGTACACAGGTGATACCTGTGCACCCACCACCCTTCCAGCCTTCACCAGGGAAAGACCTACATTATCAGGCAGATTTACTAATTAGAGAAACCAAAAGTTGTGAATGTGACTAGCCTGCAAAGGGAGGAGCTGGAAGAAGCCACATGCATTACAGGGAGGGAGCCTTTCAGAGATCACAAAGGGCCTGGGAAGCTAGGTCAGGCATTTGTTCTTTGCCCTTTGTAAAAGGAGAGTAGTTATTAAGTTATGGACATGATAGCAACGTGTTTAAGCTTCCTTTTGTGTGTACACAAAGGGACTTGTGAGAAACATTTATGTTGAAAATTAAAACTGAATTATACTCATTTATGACATTTGTCTCTGAATGCTGAGCAGTGATATGGAATTTTCTCCATATTTAAAGGGTTTTAAAAGTAAAATTTAGTGTGTATTCATGTCACTACTGGAAACATCGGAGGAAAATAAAACATAGGTGCTCTGCAGAGACAGAATTAAAGCAGCTGAAGAGGGATTGTAGAATGACAAATGCATAGGAGAGAAAATGTTTACCTGAAATGGTGAGGAATGCCCAGAAATCTAATGGTCACTCAATTTGTCTGTAATACAGATTTCATTATAAGAACTGAGGAAAAAGGATTACAAAGTTACAAGTTTTTGAAGCCTGTCTTGGCAGGGCATCCCTGTAATCCTAGCACTAAGCAGGCTGAATCAGGATGATCACCTGAGTTTGAGGTCACAGAGAATTACAGAGTCCCTGCCTCCAAAAGAAACAAACAAACAAACAAAGATTCTGTTGTTATATCAGTGAATAATGCAAATATGCACAAAGCAAGGTGAAGATTGTAAGTTCCGATGTGTATGTGCACATTTATAGATATTTATGGACATTGCATGTAACTCATATGATCTGGGCATACTGATGACCAACTCAACAAATGATGATTTAGATACCTGTACCATAAAAGTGTGGACTTCAAGGGATGAGCACACCTGCTGTGCCCACCACAATCATAAAGTGAGCCCCAATAAAAAGTTAGAGGGGCCAACTTTAATTAAAAGAAGACTTTATTTGTAGAGAGGAAAAGGGGTAGAGGAGAAGATAGATAGCTACCCTGGTAAGAAAGAATCTGTTTTTGGGCTTCAGAAAAAGAGAGAACCCATTACTTGTTTGTTTCAGGCTGCTTTTGTAGGAGGGACCCCCTCACACTCAGAATTGGCTGTAACTATATTGGGTCCTGGGCATTTCTGTCTCCTGTCATTGTTTTCAACTTCTTGGTGTCTATTTCTTGTGCTTAATTTACTTTTTGAGGCTTCTCTTTGGGTTGGCAGCTGTTAGGCAAGGAGGTGCCTTTGTCATGGTTTGCTTAGAGTAGTGAGGGGGAGTGTATCTGTCTATCATGGTCTACAATCATGTGATAAATGTAGTGACTCTAGACTGGATAATTTAGTGATCCTAGAGTACACATGTATGCAGTATAGGTGTGAGTATATACTGCCTTAAACTAGGTCAGACACCCTTCCAGCGCTCTTTCCCTATATTCTATTGGAGGATAGATAGGGTGTCTTATGCTTTGTGCACCTGGCTTTCTCTCTGGGTCCTGCCTGTCAGCTTTTTCTGATCTATTGTACAAGTCCCAAGGCCTTTTGGTGTCCTTACTTCTCTAGTTTCTCTTTCTTTCTCTATTCCTGTCCTTGAACTACTTAAAAGGGAATTTCTCTAGCCAAATTTGCTTTGCACTACCTCTCTCCAGTCAGGATTGAGTAGAAGCCCTAAGCTGACAGCTCTTCTATTTTCTTCTATATGGAGCCCTAGCCCTACAAAACTATGTAACGCAGAAGCAATGACAATTTAATGAAGTTCTTAGAGCGGAATAGGAATTAATCTACTAGCTATATATGAAGCATCATCTCATATGAAACCTAGGGAAGGTAGAGGGATGAAACTGTAGTTAGGATGGAAGATACACTAATTAGAATTTTTTAAACATGACAGAGAATTTTTAGGTTCCAGGAATTAGTGGTTTCCCAAGCAAAATTAATAGAATTCAGCCAGGCATAGAGTTCCATGCCTGTAATCCCAGCACTCGGAAGGCTAAGGCAGGAGGATCGCTGTGAATTCCAGACCAGCCTGGACTACATGGTGAGTTTCAGGTCAGTCTCCACAACATAGTGAGACCCTGTCTCAAAACAAAACCAAATAAAAAACTGAACAGAATTCCACTACTTTCAATAGTTTTTAATCCCCTAGATATCTGTTGGAATGTGTTTTATGGATTCCATTTCTTTCCTGTAGTGGGTATTCATTGTTTCCATTTCTTTCTTATGCTGGGCCTTCATGGCTTCTATCATGGTCCTGAGCTCATCTATTTTTTTGTCAGTTTCTGTTCTAGAGTCTCGAATCATGACTTCCATTTTGCTCACCATCTTTATGGTTATATGGGATATTATTTCTGTTTGAATTTTTCTAGAACCTGATTGATCTGTTTTGTTACTTCCTTTGCTATGGGTTCAGGGTGTCCTGCTGGTTCACTATCAGACTCTTCATCCTCATTTGCCCTACTGTTTGCCATTGGTGAACTGGAAGTCTGTCTTTGTGTCTTGCTTAAGTGTTTTCTCATTTTTATTTTTGTTGTTGGGTTGTCCTTGTTTTAATTTCTGGGTTATTACTTAAATCTTCCTGATATAGTTGCTCTTTAGTGTTTGAGTCTCTAATGACTCCTAGACATTCTCATCTTCATAATATTTGAAAAAACAACTCAATAAGTTAATCACAATCCTTTATCCCAATTGATAAAATCAGCAATACAATAGGATCAAGCACAACTTGCAAGTTGACCACTTGTGGTACTCATGAATCTATCACCTTTAAACCATGTGAATTAAATTAAACTCAAGAAGCAGCCCAAAATATGTTTGCAGTGAATACACTTTTCAATATAGCATCTTTACCATTTGGGATGGGGACTTAGAGTTAGGATGAGAGGAGTAGATAACTGAAAGAATTGGAGAAGGTTTCAAGTGAGGCCAGAGGACATTCAATGACCATACAATCTTGGTTTTTTGTTTTGTTTTGTTTTGTTTTGTTTTTGAGACAGGGTCTCATTATATAGTTGAAACTCACCTGGAACTCATTATTTAGCCCAAGCTTGCCTAGAACTCATAGCAATCCTCCTGCCTCAGCCTCTGGAGTGCTGGGATTACAGGCGTGTGCCACCATGCTCAGCCGACCATACAATCTTTAGGAAAATATTAAATTCAAAAGGGATATACAGAGTACAAGAATAAGGACAAGAATATATTCCCTTACCAGTAATAGGGTCTCACTTTCCCTTGAAACTATTGACCCATGAGTGAGGCAAAATGGCATATTGAGGATATACTCCTAAGTGAAATAAATAAGTCACACATGTAAATACAGAATAGTTTCTCTCGTGTGAATAAACTGTAAGAGTACATAAGATCCTAATGAGATAACTGACATTGTGAAATGGGAAGAAAAGGGCTAAATGTGTAGGGAAAGTGGGAAGGGTAGGAGATAGGTAATAAGGGAAAAAATATGAGAAAATGGAAATAAAGTGTTTGTAAATGGCGAGGGGAGGAGGGGGTGAAGGGAGGGCAGGGCCAAGGGGAAAAATGAGACCCAAGACCACCTGTCATGAAAAGGTACAAGATCCCAATAATGAATGTAACTATACTGTATACCTAAGATATACCAATAAACTCAATAAAAGAAAAAAAAAGGATTCCACTAATGAAAGATACATAGTGAATGCATGAGTACAGTCTGATCACACATTATATTTAGATAATCTAAAGAGTAAGGAAATCTAGTATTCAACGACTTATTTCCCACCCCCAAACTGTACAATAAAGTATTAGATGATGTTACAACCACTTGAAATTTGGAAATATTCAATTAAGGTCCCATGTGAATAAAACATTCCAATAAAGTTTAAATGTCAATCATTTTATTCTTTGCTTTTAAGGAAGACTAATAATATTGCCTTCCTATTCTGCCACTTTTCTCTAAGACCTCCCATACTTATTTATTTAATTTCATCATTAGTTTTCTTATTTAAGATTTTTGATTTCCAAGAAAAAAACAATATAATAAAAAGGAATTTAAAAGATATCAGGGATAAGGAAAATAGTTAACAGATTTCTTTTCTCTATTCAAGGAACACTGATGTAGCCTCACACTTACCCTTGAACTCACTCTTTTATCTCCCACCTCATTTTTATGATTATATTCAAATTTTAGTTGATATTTCTGAGTGATGTATGATTTGAATAATTCCAAGATGTAAAACCATAAAATCCCCAGACAAGTGGAAAATATGAACTTTTCCATAATCAACAGTATTCCTGGGTTTCCATCTCATTCAAAAGCAAAATATTCTGACACAAGAATATATGTGATAGGAGTCCCAAGCTACACCACATTATTGTCTATATAAAGTTATCACACCCAAGACCATTCTAAAGAGCTTCAGTTTAGAGCTCTGTATATAAATAATGCAAGAACACACGCTGTATAATGTGTCACTTCTTTTCAGCTTCATTGTGTCTACTATGACATAAATATTAAAGTTCTTCATTTGCAGTAATAAAGTAACCAAGAGTTTCAAGGAGGTAATAGAGTAAACAAACGTAAGTGGTTAACATTACAGAACTATAACTGAAAAAATCAATGAATACTACTGAAAACATTCACAATATCCTCCATAATGTTTATTTTAATTAAAAGAGAGCAAGTTTTAATCTGAGCTCTAAGCATTTCTCTTCAACATCTTTCTCAGTGAACCTGTGACTTGCTTGTTTCTCAGGCTATAGATAAATGGATTTAACACAGGAATTATGACAGTGTAAAACATAGAGAATATCATTTCCTGATCGTTTTGCTCTGAAGATGCTGGATGCACATACATGAAGAGAAGGGGGACATAGTATAAAGTCACCGAAAACAGATGGGCTCCACAGGTGGATAAGGCTTTGCTTGTACCACTTTCAGATTTCTTTTGTAAAATAGTAAAGAGAACAAATGTATAAGAGACAAGAATAGTCACAATGCTGAATACTTGGATTGAACCAGAGAAAATGAAAAGCATTAGGTAATTAATAGAAGGATCAGTACAGGAAATCTTTGTCAGTGGTATGATATCACAGTAAAAGTGATGTATTATGTTGGAATTACAGAACTTTAATCTGAATAAAAAAGTTTCATGGATTAAGGCATGAAGAAAGCCACCTACAAATGATAGAACTAATAGCTGGATGCATCGTCTATTGGTCATAATCACTGGGTAAAGTAAAGGTTTGCATATGGCCACATAGCGATCATAAGCCATTGCTGCCAACAGAAAACATTCTGCTGTTACACTAATTGCAAAGGAGAAAAACTGTATCATGCACTGAGAGTAAGTTATCAGCTTACCTATGTGTAATAAGTTCACCAACAATTTAGGTGTCACAGTAGATGATAACCAAGCATCTACAAAAGCTAAATTCCCAAGGAAATAATACATGGGTATGTGAAGGTGAGAGTCATTCCTGACGAGAGTGATCAGACCCAGGTTCCCCACAATAGTGATGAGGTATATTGCCAAGAACACCAAGAACAGGAGAACTTGCCACTCTGGTTGACATGGGAGTCCTGTGAGGACAAACTCTGTCAGCAAAGTTGCATTTTTCATTGCCATTTCCCAGCTGGATGTCTTCTGTAAAAAAAAACAACAGAGGATATGAAACATTTGCAATCATTTACAACAAGAAAATGATCATATATAAGTAGAGAAATAAATCCCTTTTATACAATTATAAATTGCACATGTCAGAATATATACTGCAGCAACAGAAAATAATTTTGAGAAATAAAAATGGCAGAAAGTTCAAGTAATTAAGCCACTAAATATGCAGAAGTAACAAATTTACAGGAAATGAGAGGTTTTCTAATTTACTGCCAATTTTTTTAAAATCAGGATTGAACTCGGGATCTTGGGCTTCCGAAGCAGGCGGCAGAAACACTGAGTTAAATCTCCGGCCCCTTACTGATCAATTTATTGAGATCTATTGAGTGTGGTTAGAAAATCTATGTCCCAGGCATGTGCAGAGTCTAGAACAAAGCTATGTGAATGGCCATGAACATAAGCTAAGTTGAATCCCTTGTGAAGAATCTTAAATTCTATTTCTCAGGTAACTGACTTATACTAAGATATTTTAAAATCTGGAATGACACCATAAAATATTATTTCAATCACATATTTGATGGTGTACACATTGCCTATGGGGGGGACATTAAAGTCCCATCTATTAATCAAGAACCTGCTGCAATTCTCTAGCAATTCCCAAAGCACATGCAATATCTCCAATGTGTTGGGTAGGTTATTGGGTAATACATAGGTTATAAGGTATTACCTTAAATATAGTGGGTAGTTCAGGAATGAGGAAAGATTCTGTACTTTCCAAAAGTTTCTCTGATGATGGAAACTGGTTCCTACTCCAGCTATGATTTCACACTTTTAAAACTTATGAGAATGAGGGCTGGAGATTTGGTTCAGTGAATCTACCACCAGCCTTGCAAGCAAAAGATCGCGAATTTGATGTCTGGTTCCAAAATAATAATAATTGTTATTATTGCTATTATTATGAGACTGAGAAGTCTCTGAGACTAGGATGTATTTTAGGTATTAAGGGTGGTCAGTGAAGAAGTGGTGATTGAGTAGATAATAAGAATAAAACTGGAATTACAGTTCATAGTGAAATTTGTGGAGGAAGAAACTCTTCAACTACCAGGTGTAATGTACCAAATGTTTAAAACTAATACTATGTGCTGAAAGAAGTACTAATATGGGAGTCATTGTTGTAGTAGAGGCACTGATATGGGTAGCGTGTCTGTCAGTGATGGCATACAAAGAAAAGAGATGGGAGGAGGGAAAATATTGAGAAAGTTATGGTGAAGAGACTTTGATACAAACAGATGTCATTTACAAAGTGGTCACACCTGAAACGCTCTCTAACTTGAATCTTTTGGGTAACTAGAGGCTACCACACCCTTGCGAAGGTGAAATGGTCGGAGATTTTCTTTACCATTCCTCTCACACATAGGGTAAGGCGCTTCCTCTACATTTACCCAAACTCACATATGTACGGTTTTTAATGTGTGAAGGCAGAGAAAATAGAAAATGCAGGAAAGATAATTGAAAAAATAATATCAAGATTCCATCAACTACAACTCCTGTCCACAAAAATAGCACTTTTGGTGGGAATTGTGGTATCTAAGGCCAAGAGCAGTGACAGGAATCTTTATGAAGATAGTGTTGGGTCATAGCTTGGCTGTTCTTCTGCTGCCTTGTTTCCAATCCTCCTGCCCATCTTTCAAGCTGATTCCTCTGTCCTCTCTCTAGCACTTTTTACTTGTAGCAACTTTCCATTTCAGAAACCCATTTTCTTCCTGGAATCTAGAGCGCTGGATACACCAAGAGAGATCATAAAAATGATGATCAGTGTGTTCTGCAAAACAAAGGGGCAAGTGAAAGACAGAGCTTTGTAAACCAAAGGAGAGGGAAGATCCTCAAGAATGGCATAGTAAATCATAGTACAAAATACAAAAATAAATGTTCTAGTGCCATGAGGAATTCACAGTTGTTTGACAGTAGAAATTCAGAAAAGTTGTGATTTTATTGAGAGCCATTTCATCATGTCTTAGAATTAAGATCACATCAAAGGGAAGACATATTAGAAAAAAGTGGCATAATGGTAAAAAGAATGAAAGAGTGTATTCTAAGTGACTGGAGAACAGATGGTATTTTCATATTGTGTGTTTAGTCACATATAACTCCTATTTCCTGTAGAGCATTGAACAAAATTGGAAAAGAGCAAACAGGAAGGAAAGGAGACTATGACAGCAGCAGTGGAAAGGGAAATTGAGGTAGGTGAAACAAAGCAAGAGAATGGAGGAGAAACAAATAGAGAATAGCAAAAATATGTGTAGAAAAGAATAGGAAAAACAAAGACCATGAGAAGATGTTTCAAAGAAAGTTTGAACTGAGATAAAGGGAAAGCTCAGATAGTTGAATGCAAATGTATCTATAATCCTGGAATTCATTAAAAGTTGTCTTCTAAAAGATCTTTTTTCCATCCTATTCAAAGCACAGAGTATTTTTCCTCCCATGAATTTAGAGTACAAAGTAGAAGGCTCACAGAAAAGCTTCTCACAGAAATTGTGGTTTTGATAAATATATTAACTTATCTCAGTGCTATTCCTGCATCTAAATTCACCAGTGTGTTTAGAAAGGAGGACAGTGGGAGAACTGCATCTTTACTCATTAATAAGCAGGTATACTAGAAACTTCCTAAGTTGGTAGATTTGGGGCACTCTCACCACTGCCACCAACAATATAGTTATTATAAGAGATGTAGGATGCTACCTTGCTTTTCTGCAGTTTTTTACTTGACTTGGATATGTATATCAGTGCATTATGTAGCAAACCTCAGGTATATAAGATACAAATTGTGTTTCTTCCCGCGTTATAGTTTTTCTCTTCACACTACTGGTGCTTTCTCTTGCTGTGCAGAAGATAATGTGATATAGGAAGAAAAGGTCTACAGGAGAAAGGGAAGAGAAGGGGGAATTGGAAGATGTGGGGGGAGAGAATGGAGGGAAGGGCAAAAAACTATGAGAAAAGGAAAATATGGAAACAAAGTCTCAGTAAATGAGAAGGGGTGGAGAGGTTGAAAGGTGGGCAGAGGAATGGGGAAGAAACAAGAAGGATGATATATCATGTACAGGTAAAAATCTCGAATGATGAATGGCATCCTACTGTATACCTAAAATGTGCCAATAAGTTAATGAATAAATAAAATTATTGTTTCTTTATCTTCATATTGTAATATTTGAAATGAACTATTTAGAAATCTTGCTTGTTTAAATTTCACACAAACACACATATATAAATATATGTAAATGTATATATAGAGACAGATATATATGTATAGTGTAAGATCTGGACACAAACGTAGGGCTAAAAGGTAAATGACACCTTAAAATTATAAATACAAATTATAATTGATTAAATGTAATGGGCCATTTTGTCAGTATCACCAGAATTTCCTATATAACAATTACAATGACTTGTGTATTTAAACCTATTTTTAAATTGCTTAAAGTTCTAGATTGCAATATAAATTCAATAAAAGGAAAAATTAGTATCATAATATTTTTGTTTATTCATATTTTAGCTCAAAAAATATAAGGATGTTACATGGCTTTTCATTTTCAAACTTGCTATTTTGTCATTTTAAACATCCAATCTAAATCCTTACAATTAGATAATACTTTGGCTTGGATACAGAGAATCTCAAAATAAAACTTAATTGCTCAGTGAAATATTAAAAGGGATTGTGGGGATCTTTAAATTTACTATTATAGAAGAAATTTTAAAAAAATATTATCTGGACTTACCTACATATCAAGAGAAACTCTGGATATCCTTTCAATATATTAGACTTCATAAAAAAGAAAAAGTTACAATAGCACTGGATTGGAAATAACAAAACTGGCGATTCTTTTCACACTAACTCTTTTTGGAAGTTTCCTTTAGCACTGCTTCAAACTGTGGTTTATATAAGTTAACACTGAAGAAAGAGTGAACCAGTTGTATGACTCTGTGCTATTTCCAGAAGTGAAAGAACTAGAGATTTGAAGTTCCCATAAGAGCACCTGAGAGTTCCCAGTAGAAAAATGAAGCTATTCTACTGGGCCCTGTGAATTTAAACATGAATGAGAGGTTCAGGTTGTCCCAAGTCCTACAGACTTCAGAATTATAAACTTCAAGTCATCATAGATGTTTTATGTGTAACAATTAGTTACTCATATGTGTTTTGGGGACCAAAGCGAATTTGTCATTACACCAGAATATTTGTTTTCAAAGTAGATCAAATGTGCCTTAACAAATTTTTTTCAGTTAGATTAAAAAAACAACTAAAATTTCACTTTCACTCAGTATTTTCCATCAATATGACAAATATGCTATATGTACAGAAACAAGTTTTTATCTAAAACGTAATGCTCTGAAAACATTGAATACTATGGTTCTATCTGAGCTAATCAATATATGCTGTGGTTAAGGCAAAGATCTAGTTTGTCTGAAGGAAATGACCCCAAGCAGTGTAATCCTCTGCATGAAAGGTAATCTGAAACCTAGATGAATGTGAAAATTCTCCACTTCAATGGAAAGTTTAATGAGAAATCCTACTGGTCAAATGTTAGAAGTAGCAGCTAATGAAAACCAAAGCCATGTATCTCCATGGCAGGTGACCTAGATGTGGGCTTCCCTAACATCAATGCCCATTCTCTTCCCAGGGATCTTGTAAAAATGCTGGCTTGTTTAGTAATTCTGGGTTCCAGTTGTGGAGTCTCACTTTGTACACAGGTGATACCTGTGGGCCCACCACCCTTCCAGCCTTCACCAGGGAAAGACCTACATTATCAGGCAGCTTTACTAATTAGAGAAACCAAAAGTTATGAATGTAACTAGCCTGCAAAGGGAGGAGCTGGAAGAAGACACATGCATCACAGGGAGTGAGCCTTTCAGAGATCACAAAGGGCCTGGGAAGCTAGGCCAGGCATTTGTTCTTTGCCCTATGTAAAAGGAGAGTAGTTATTAAGTTATGGACATGATAGCAATGTGTTTAAGTTTCCTTTCACGTGTACACAGAAGGACTTGTGAATAAACATTTATGTTGAAAACTA